ACCTGATTTTTTTTGTAATTCTGCTGCGGAAATGAAACATGAAATAGAATAAATTAATAAAAAAAAGTAAAAACATTTGATTCTTTCATTTTTAACAATAATCATTATAAACAGCATTAGCAATTAAAAAAACACGCAAATATAAACAAAATTTACAATTATTCACAATACTTCCACAATCTGTTAGCCTTATTTTTAAACAAAAATTAAAATAAATATATTGATAAAATTAACTATATTTTTATATACATTACTCTAGTCTGCTATATATTTTTATTTTAATAAACTTTTAAACATAAATTTGTAATCAGAAAAATTTCACAAAGGTTATACAATCATTTCTTCTTACTTCTATGACTATTTTTGAAAACTTTAATGATTTTCCTTAGCTATTTTGTTCATAAAATCCGTTAAAGGCATAGGACATCCCCATAGGTAGCCTTGAAATTCAGTACAGCCATTTTCTTGAAAGCGATTAAATTGCTCAACGGTCTCAATCCCCTCTGCTAACACACGCAGGTTTAAATCAAGGCCAATTTTAACAATCCCATATACCAATTTATTACACCGCTCATCATCTAAAGCCGCTTGTACAAAACTCTGATCAATTTTGATTTGGCTAATCGGCATTTTCTGCAAATAGCTTAATGATGAATAACCTGTACCAAAATCATCTAAAGCAAGCTGTATGCCATTTTTATGTAGAAAACCCATTTTTTCTATAACACTTTCAATATTATTTAACGCAACCCTTTCAGTTATTTCTAATATAAGTTGGGATGGAAACACTGCATTTTTCTGTACCATGGAAGTAACGATTTGCTCAAAATTCTCTTGCATGAAATGATCAGCACTTATATTGACTGAAAGTGTAAGATCTTTTGTAGATTCATTTTTACTCCAGTCTTGTAATACTTTGCTTGCCTGAATCAGTATCCAATCTCCAATTTTAGGCATTAACTCCAAAGTTTCCGCTACAGGAATAAAATCCTTCGCAGGGATATAGCCAAGCATCGGGTGACACCAACGTAACAAAATTTCAGCGCCTATAATTTTTTCAGAAGAATTTACTTGAGGTTGATAAAAGAGCTCAAACTGTTGTTTTGAAAGCGCTAAACGTAGATCCTGCACCAACTTATTTTCTATTTGCAACTCCAATTGCATCACAAAAATTGAGATACAAATCATTAAAGTGGCAACGGATATTGCAATCCAACCACCATAAGCTCGAATGCTTTCAGCTAAAGGTATTGCTCCATCTAAAGTAAACGCACTCCCGCTAAAAAAGATAAAAGCGGCAATGGATAAGATAATTAAAATCAGTTGTAACGCATTGGGATCTCTTCGATAATTCAAATATCCCAATATGGCTCCTGCTGGAAGAAATAAATGCGCAACTCTGGGGTGATCTATTGTAGCCACATCAAATATTAAGCAAAAAACCACAGGAAAAACAAAGAGGACAATTTGCGAGACCAGTATTCCCGCTGAAATTCGATGTATATAAATCAAAAATAAACTGAAGATAGACATTGCTGTAAAAAAAATATCAATACAAACAATGAACCACATCTCAGCAAAGCTAAAATATATTGTCCAAAATAGGCAAAATGCGATACAGATAACAATGTTTGCTTTAGCTGCAATCGTTATTTGTTGGTTTTTTATGGCGTTGAAATGTTTGTTTTGGTTTTTTAAATAGGATAAAACGACCATAAATACCCCCATTACAAATATTTATTGATCAAGTATCCGCATTGTTTTTATACACAATTTCAGATTCACATCAATAAACACTAAGCTATTAAAAATACTTATAATTTATAAATATCTGACTTGTTAATATGCTTGATTAGCTTTAAAAAAACGAATGTCGTCTTCAATTTAGTCCCTTAAATAATTATCCATCTAGTAATCCATCCATTTATATTTTTGACATTTATAGCGCAAAAGTGTTCAAAATCAACGTTGCGAATAATATTAAAAATAGTCGTGAAGGTAAAAAGTATTTTTTAATGAAATTGTATCAGCTCCTGCACTCTACTAAGCGAGTTGTACTCAACAAACCGTTTTATTTGAAATCCATTTCAGATACAAATGAAATATAACATGTTTTTTCACATGATATAGCACCAACAGATGAGTAGATAAAGTAAATATATCCGCAAGCATTGTGTAGTTAAAACACTACAATACTCATTTTTATCCACTCAAATAAACAACTAAATTCACGTGAAAAAACATATTTTCTAAAATATTTCATAAACCCTACAAAACCCAATATAAAAACAATATAAGTTTTACATCTGAATAATTTTTTGGAAAAAGATCTCACGGCTCGCAAGTAAAACTTACCTATTAAAAAACAAATACATCACCATTCCTTATTGCTCAAGCCATAAGTTATACAGACTTAATCAGCACTTTTTAGCCAAAAACCTAAAAATCAAATTAAAATTAACGTATTAAAATACTTATAATTCAACCAAATTGTTCGAACAAATATTTAAGAATTTCTTTAATATTCAGAAAAATTTATCATTTGTAAAGCTGATATAGAGTTTCTTTCATAATCTGTTGTCATTTGGTCTTTATTAAAGTTTACGGACGCATTCTCATCTAACTTAGGCAAGTTTGTGTACAGCATGAAATAGGCTGTATCCAAATGCATATCAAACTTATAAATTTGCCGAGAATATTTATGCAACAGGAATTAGTTCCCAGAAGAAAGTTTTATACAAATGATTTGCTCTCAGGTTTAGTTGTTTTTTTAGTTGCTCTACCGCTCTGTTTAGGTATAGCCAGTGCCTCAGGTGCACCCTTGATTTCCGGTATTATTGCGGGTGTCATTGGTGGAATCGTTATCGGTTATTTGAGTGGTTCTCATATCAGTGTGTCAGGTCCCGCTGCTGGGCTTACCGCTATTGTTTTAACACAGCTAGATAAGCTTGAAGGCAACTACCAAGCTTTTTTATTTTGTTTAGTTTTAGCCGGCCTCATCCAATTATTTTTCGGGTTATTTCGGTTGGGGACCTATTCAAATTTTATCCCAACCAATGTGATTATGGGGCTTCTTGTTGCCATCGGGTTAATCTTGATTATCAATCAACTTCCTCTGCTCTTTGGGATTAAAACCGAAATTCTTCAACAACGTTGGTCCGAAGGGACAGGCCTATTACAGCATCTTGATTATGGTGCGGCAATCATTGGTATCTCAAGTATATTCATTATTTTATTGTGGGATAAAACACCTTTAAAAAAAATGGTTGTACCCTCTGCACTTATTGCGGTCATTTTTGCGGGACTCTTAAACTATTTTTTTATCAGTACCAATTCCAGCCTCGCAGTCGGCACTGAACATCTGGTCAATCTTCCCAATATTTTTTCAGGTGTTGAATCAATTATCAGTTTCCCTGACTTCACTCAATGGAATAATCCTATAATTTATACAGGTGCCATTACGCTGGCGATCGTCGCCTCGCTTGAAACACTATTAAATCTAGAAGCTGCGGACAAAATGGATCCGCAAAAGCGTGCCTCTCCGCCAAACAAAGAGTTGGTCGCCCAAGGTATCGGAAATACCATGTCTGGTTTAATTGGAGGTATGCCGATTACCTCAGTGATTGTTCGAAGTTCAGTCAATGCAGCAAGTGGTGCAAAGACTAAATTCTCTGCAATTTTTCACGGTATTTTATTGATTATTGCGGTTTTATTTCTGACACCATTAATCAATGTTGTTCCATTATCTTCCCTTGCCGCCATTTTAATTTTAACTGGTGTGAAATTAGCCAGCCCTTCACTTTTTAAACGGATCTATGGTCAAGGATGGAAGCAATTTCTACCATTCATTGTAACGGTTGTTGCAATTATCGCGACGGATCTACTTATCGGTATTTTGTTAGGGCTGTTGATTAGTTTTATCATTGTATTAAAAAATAATTTATTCCGTGGTGTTCGTATCATCCATGAAGCACATTTGCATGGAAATATTACCCGTATTGAACTGGCACCCAATATTAGCTTTTTAAATCGTTCCGCATTAGTTTCTGCCTTAGAGAAAATAGTCAGTGGCGATACTGTAGTGATCGATGCGTCGAATACCTATTATATTGATCCGGATGTATATCAAGTGATTAAAGATTTTAGGGATGAAACAGCTGCAGAAAATGGCATCGATGTAAAACTAATTGGCTTTAAAATACATTATCCTGAAATTAAAGAAGAAGAACTGGATATTGATGTCAGTACTCAGGAAATTCAACGACAACTTACGCCTGCACAAGTGTTTCAGCTACTCAAAGAAGGCAATCAGCGGTTCGTTAACCATGAACGGATTTATCATAATATTGCTCGTCAAATTCAAGTCACTGCACAATCTGGACAGCATCCATTTGCAGCCGTTCTAGGCTGTATGGATTCACGTGCACCAACAGAACGGATTTTTGATGTCGGTATTGGTGACTTATTTAGTTTACGGATCGCTGGAAATATAGCGGGCGAAAAAGTATTAGGCTCTCTAGAATTCGCCTGTAAGAGTAAGGGTTCCAAATTAATTTTAGTATTGGGTCATACAGATTGTGGTGCAGTGACAGCAGCTTGTCAGATGTATGAACAAAAAAAGGATATTACTCAACTCAGCGAAACCCCACATGTACAATACTTTCTTAAACCGATTATGCAGGCGGCAGAAAATGTGCATAAAGAAATGACCGATTACCAACTCACCAGTAATTTCATTCAGGCGGTGACCATTGCAAATGTACAAAATAATATTGCCTATATCTTAAGAAATAGCCCAGTACTGAAAAAGATGGTTGAAGAAGGTGAAATTGGCATTGCAGGTGGTATTTATGATGTAAAAACAGGAAAGGTGGATTTTTTATAAAGTCTATATCTGCATGATTTTGTTATGATCTGTATAAGGATATCAGCATAAAACTGGTCTTAAAGACAAGTGTAATGATCGACATGGATGTCATCTTCCCCTTTTACAAAGATCTCTAATAAATCTTTATCAGCTTTCTATTCATAGATAAAAAAAATCTAAATTTTTAGAAAAGATTAAACCTAAAGCCAATCATTGTGTTCTAAACAAAAGAAGCCTGAATATTCAGACTCCCTTATGATGCGCTTAGTGTTAGTTTTGAAAATATTTGGGTCTATTGCTTATAATATTGCCTTATAACCCTTCAAGTTTTAGACGATTGACCTGTTGACGATAAAGTGACACAGGATCTGGTCCAAACCATGCTTTTAACCCTAAAATCTGATTAATTTCATCTAGGTGTGTTTGATTATAGTCGTCTCTAATCACTTGTCCGAAATGTGCATTGCAACGGTTAACCAAACCATCATTGTCATTATTTTTATAAGATCTCGGTGCCATGGTGGAAATGGCAACGTCAATGACATCAAGTAGATTGGTTGCTTGAGCTTTACCTGTCCACGAGTAATGATAAACCCCATTACTGGTAATCTTCTGACCATTGCCACAATCAGATGGGATTGCTGCAGTTGGGAATCTTGCATTGAATTCTGCAGAACCCTTTTCACTTAATGATTTCAATGAGCGATCCAGACTAATCGGCAAATCAGGATTACCTTGTAGAAGTAACTCCACTGGAGCAACGATATATTGTCCTAAGACGGTAAATAAAAATTTCTCAGCAGGATTATCCAACATATCATCTCCCACTTTGGACCCTTTAAACGTTCCAGCAACAGCAGTGAGTGAAGCGACTTTCTCAGGTGCAATTGCTTCAATATAACGAATAGTCGGTCCACCATGACTATGACCAATCAGATTAACTTTTGACTTTCCTGAGAGTGCCAAAACTTCATCTACTTGTTGTAGCAACTGCTCGCCACGAACTTCGGTGGATTCTAGTGGAGAAACCTGGGTTGCATAAACCGTCGCACCATTACGTGCCAAATCTGGAAGAACCTGATAAAAATAATCCATCCCAAAAGCTGTCGGACCGAGTCGAGTAAAACCAAACATCCCATGGTTAAATACAACTGGATATTTGGTTTTTGCATAATCAGAAGCCACATAGTTGCTACTAACGCTCTGTAAACCAGAAGCAAAAACTGGCATAGCCAATGTGGCCAAAGCCACAATACTAGCGGTGAGTAAAGTCTGTTTCATATATTTCCCTGCTATCTTGATTTCTTTTCTTTAGAAATCAGCATCATTCACGTTATAAATCCTCTATAACCATGCATTTTTTGTTTTTTTGCATAGTGCTCCTCATAAATAAAGCTGTCATCTAAAAGCCTTATTTACTCAATCCTATTTATCCTCCTTAGTCATAGATATATTCAAATTTGTGTAGGCACATTTATTCTGGTTGATTGCATAAATGAAGTGACTGCATTTGTTTGACTAAATCATGCAGTGTCCTCATATCTTTTAGTTTTGACTGTTGCTGAATTTCTTCTTTTCGGTCTTTCTAAAAGTGTATTGAATTATTTTTCCAGTTTTGAGCTTGCTTAGTAGCTGAAAGATTTTCATGATCTATCACGTTTATTCGCTTGACTGTGTAAATATTGTAAGTCGCTTACTTACCCAAGCAGATCGTCGATTTCTCAATCCATAAGGAATAGGTTTTGCAGCTTTCTCATATTTAAGAAAACCTATTGATAATATTTAAAATATTTCTGAATTTTATTAAGCAGCTGTTGGCGGCTTTGTTGTCTAGGATATGAGCCGAACAAAAAGTAACTGATCAGTTCATTTTGCTGAAAAGCTGAGATACGACTTTAGAGATGCTGTGTGAAGCCAAGAAAATCGTCCCGGTGGCTAAATACCACCTAAACAGATACATGCGAATAGTCATCATTATTTATTGGTGGGGCTGAGGAAGGTGTGAAAGTCATTGAAAATGTAGACGGTTTAAGCTTTGACGAATTGCAGTGGCTGGCTGGGTGCGAAGTTGATTGATTCAACAGTTTAAAACGTCCTTAGTCCCTCCTGAAAGGAGAGTAACTTATATTGTAAAACATTGAATGTAAGCTATTAGGCAACATAAGTTTTATAAGAATAATTTTGGAAAACCGTACTCACTTCCTTATAAAATCGATTTAACTCATAGCTTGGTCTACCACAAACAACCAAGCAAACACTCAGGTTAATTAAACAATTTCTTATGGATTCATCATTTTCATGCAGCATGAGGAAATTAAAAAAAGAATTTATATTTCAGCTCTAAAAAAATACCAGTCATAAAGACTGGTATTCATCATCTATTAAGGCTTTTCACCATTTGCTAAACGCTGTTCAATCGCATCCAATACCGCAGGTAAGTCAGCAATACTATCAATTACATAATGTGCACCTGAAGCATTCATTTTCGCATATGCTTTTTCTTTTAAACTTAGTTGTTCAGACGCTGAAAGTGCAGACCACTCTTCGAAGCTTAGCCCCACTTCATTCCCACTGACGGCCAAGCCCACAGTCCAACAACCAGCGTTTAAACCTTCTTCGATGCCGACCACTGTATCATCCACTTTCACCACAGTTTTAATATCTAACACATCAAGTTCAATTAGATTTTTCCACAGCATTTCAGGATATGGACGACCATGTTTCACATCACTGGCTGTAATAGTACAGTCAGGCACATAACCTTGATCAGCTGCATCTTGCACCAATTGACCAATCATCATCGAAGCATAACCAGTATTACTGCCAATTTTTGCACCACGGGCACGAATGTCAGCAAATACGTCTAATGCCCCCGGAATCAATTTTGAGCAGCTTGGGATGCTTTTCAATTGGTATGGAATAAAGTCCTGATATAAACGGTCAATATCCGCCACAGTCACTTCAGCACCATGAGTCTGTTTCCATGCATCTGCAATATGTGGCATTTTCAAAACTGCCGCAATGTGATCGCGTTTTTCCAAACCCATTGGCGCACGTGCTTCTTCAATTGAAATTTCAACTTTATTATCTGCAAATAAAGCCATAAATGCCAAAATTGGTGCGCGTGAACCAAAATCTACTGTTGTACCTGCCCAATCAAAAACGACGGCTTGTAATGCTGAAGTTGAAGCGTTCATAAGTTTGTCCTATTCATTTCTCAAAGTTAAAAATAGCTGTCTTGCGTAAGTTGAGGGTTGCGTAATATTTAATTTCTAATGGCAGCACCCACTCCTTTTAAAAGGAGAGAGCTAGGGAGAGGATCTATAATCTCCCCATACTAACCTCCGCCCTGAGCCATAAATGGCGCAAGAAAAGGCGTTTTGAATTCCAATCAAATTCGATAGTGCTCAATCGCTGTTAAAAGTCGTTCAATATCATCTAAATAAATCTCTCCGATATTGCCAATACGGAAGCAATTTAAGTCAGTGACTTTGCCGGGATAGATCACAAACCCTGCTTGTTTCAGATTTTCATACAAGGCTGGGAAGCTAAAATCGGCTTCATTTGGATACAAAAATGTGGTGATAATTGGTGATTGTGGTGCGTCTTGATCTAAGACCATTTCAAAACCAAGCGCTTGCATACCTGCGGCTAAACGTTGTTGATTATTGAAATAACGCTGATAACGTGCGGTTACTCCGCCTTCTTGCTCTAATTCTAAAAGCGCTTGATAAAAAGCACGCACCACATGAGTTGGCGAAGTAAAACGCCATTTACCATTATGCTGTTCCATGGTGTTCCACTGGTCGTATAGGTCTAAACTGACTGAACAAGCCAAACCTTTGCACGCTTGTAATTGCTCACGTTTTGCCAAAACAAAACCAAAGCCTGGTACACCTTGGATGCATTTATTGGCACTTGAAATCAAGAAATCAATTTCAAGCTCTGCAATGTCCATTGGCACACCACCAAAAGAACTCATCGCATCGACAATCCACACTTTTTTTTTGGCTTTGACAATGCGTCCAATCGCTTGAATTGGATTTAATAAACCAGTGGTGGTTTCGCAATGGACACATGACACATGAGTGATGCTGTCATCTTCAAGTGCTTTTTCGATATCAGCCAGTTGAGGGATTTGCATTTCAGGGTAGCGTAATTCCACCACGTCAATTTTCAAACATCGAGCCATTTGCACCATGCGTGCACCATATGCCCCGTTATTGATAATTAAAATTTTACCATCCTTTGGAATCGCCGAACCTAACACTGCTTCTACAGAAAAACTCCCACTGCCTTGCATCAACACAGCACTATATTGTTCAGGTTTTGCAGTTGCCAACGCCACCAAACGACTGCGGATCTCCTGAACCAATGCGTTATATTCTTTGTCCCAAGTACACCAATCACGTTGCATCACACGACGCACACTTTTCGAGGTAGACAATGGTCCTGGTGTCAACAGTAAGTATTTATTTTCAACATCGTGTTCAATTGTGTTTGCAAGTTCAATTTGTGCGTTCATTTCGCCTAACCTTTGTTCAATTTCATACAGTATAAATAAATCTGGTTTAAACCAGATTACAAAATATAATTTTCTAACATTTCTTTCATAAATCCTGCGCCTGTGGTCATGCCTTTGCCTGCAATCGCACTGACAAGGAAAATATTGGTTTCAGCTTCCATCACACATGCCAATTCCGTAGGATGAGTCAGATAGTAACCATTCCAACGAGATTCAATTTCAGGTAGATCTAAACCAATATTTTCTTTGCAATATTGCAAAATGAATTGGTTAATTTCTTCACGTTGATTAAATTGTGGTATGTCTTCAATCGGATAATATTCATGGCTATCACCCAAAATAATTTGTCCGAATTCATTTTGTTTAATCAGGATATGAATACCGTATTTTTCGACTAAACCGATTTGTGATTCATTGCGTAAATCTTGATGACTAGGGCAAATCTCAAAAGCGGGATAACGAGAAATCGACAATCCTGAATAAATCGAAGCATTGAGATTAACTTTTAGCGGTTTGGTTAATGCCATTTGTAAAGTACAACGTAATAAACCTTTTTGTTGTAAGAGCTTGGGGTACAACGATTGTGTCTCTTCACCATGACAAATCATGACTTTATTTGCGGTAAATGTTTGACCTGATGCCAAGCGAATGTGCGCCAAGCCTTGGTTAAATTGCGTCAGTACCACAGAGGCATTGCAATGAATTTGTACACCAAGTTTTTCGGCATATTGCAACAAACGCAGTCCCACCAAATGTGGCTCAACTGAATAATCTTCATGAAACACCATACCGCCACGTAGCGCAGTTTCTGGGTTTAAATAAGCATATTGATCAAACAGTTGCTGCTTAGACAATAGACTTACAGGAATCTGATAATCAGCTGCAGCTTTAGCAAACTCGTTTAATACTTGCCATTCAAGTTCGGTATTCGCGAGATACAAACCGTTCCGCTGTTGAAATGAAATATCGGTTTGTGCCTGAATCCGTTGATAAAATTCACGGGTTGCCAAAGCATATTCACGCCATTTCGCATCAGGACGGCTTAGAGTCGAAGTCCCAACCATGCCAAAGTTACGGCGAGTCGCACCTATAGGTTGTGCATATTTTTCAAAGACTTGTACCTTTAAACCTTGCTCTGCCGCTTGGATCGCAGCCGATATTCCTAAAATGCCTGCACCGACAATAATTAAGTCAAATTGTGCTGTATTCATTGTCTTTTCCACCTTATCTACTTTTTTTAGCACGCAAAATCCCCAGCACCTAAAAGAAAGCGTTCAATTCAAATGGTTTAGTTAATTAAAAAGATTGACTGAAAGATCAATTTGTTATGAATGTGTTTGCTCACACCAACGTTGTGTTGACGTCATCATTTTCCGAGTGAATAACCAATGCAGCAACTTGACTGCACATGAGGTGAGTAAAATCAAAATACTCATCGCCACAGCTGCCACGGTATCACCTGCATCATCCATATTCAGCACCGCCACCGATGCCAAATTGGTATCAGGTGAATAAAGGAAAATCGCAGCTGAAACAGTAGTCATGGCATTGACAAATAAATACACCAACACATCACACAGCGCAGGAAAGGTTAAAGGCAAATATACTTTGCGGAACATTGTCCAATGTGAAGATCCTAAACTTTGTGCAGCATGATCAAGTTGATTTGGGATCTGTTGAATCGCATGCGTTAAGGTCAAATGTGGCACAGTGTAATAATGAATAATGGTTGAAATCACCAACAGCGTCATCGTACCGTAAACGAAAGACACAGGATTTTGCGGTGCGTTAAAGAACAAGATATAAGCAATACCCAACACCAAGCCCGGCACAGCCAAAGGCAATAACACCAAGACTTTTACATAGTTTTTTAGCAAAGGATGTGCTTTAAAACGGGTACTAAATAAGGCAATGATGAAAATTATCATCGTACCGAAAACGGTACTGAACAATGCCAATTTGATTGAGTTAAAATAACTTGCCCAACCACCACCATCAACATATTCAAAACGATAATGATTTAAGGTCATTGACAAATCATAGGGCCAATAGCGAATGAATGATGCGAGAATCGCAGTCACAATAATCAGTAAAATACCGCCTGAAATCACCCCACAAAATACAGTTAATGCTTTTTCAATTCGAGGATTGGCACGCAAACGATAAGGCTGAATTTGGAAATTTTGATAGCGTTCCTGATGACGACTTTGGTATCGATCAAAAATGAATGCCAACACCGCAGGACAGAGCAACAAAATCGAAATGACGGCACCCATGTTCATATTTTGTTGACCAATGATCTGCTTATACACATCCAACGCCATCATATTGAATGACCCGCCAATCACTTTGGGAATCCCGAAATCTGTGATGACATAAGTAAATGCTACCAGACAGGCACTGACTAAACCATAACGAATCGCAGGAAAAGTCACAGCCCAATGGGTTTGTAGTGTATTTTTTCCTAAAGCATGAGAAGCCTCAATCAAATGTTGATCAATATGGCGAAATGCACCCATCATCAACATGACCATGGCAGGAAATAGCCAAAAGCAATAACTGATCAAAATGCCTAGTGGACCATAAATTTCCACCTCTCCCAGCATGCCCTTAAAAACACCTTGCTGACCAAACAAATACACCAAAGCCAATGAAGGCAAAAGTGAAGGCGCAAGAATCGGTAAAAATGCCACGGTTTTAAAGAAAGCTTTGCCTCGAATATTGCAATTAATCAATGCAAAAGCATAAACACTTGCCAAGCTCACCGTAATCAACATGGCTGTAATGGCGATCCACATCGAATTAAAAATCGATGAGATTAAGGCCGGATTGGAAAAATAAGCTGTAAAGTTATCCAACCCAACAAATTGATGCTGTTCATTTAAAAATGCGCTTTGCATCAATACGATTAAGGGTGCAATCAAACTCAAGGTGAATAGAATTGCTGCGACAAACAACACGGCACTTGAACGCAATGAATAACGAAAACGATGTGCTGTTTGACTACTTAATAAAGCATCTGCGGCAGACTGATTTAACATCTCGCATGCCCTCGTGAATCAAACACATGTAAGTCACGAATCGACACTTGCAGATACATTCCATCTTGCACAACCGCCATATGTTGGTGATCCACATCAACTTGCAACGTATTGTCATCGGCATGATCTTGGTTTTGCACCACGCAGAATAAACGACGTTTTGCGCCTAAAAACTCAGTGTTGACAATATGTACAGCTAAATTTAAATATTCAGTAGAAGGTTCATTTCCAGCTACTAAATTGACATTTTCAGGTCGAAAAGCAATTTCATAATGTTCATCTTGGGCAAAGTTTAAATGTGGAAATTCAATAAAAGATTGCTCATTCATTTTTAAACGATGCCTATCGACCGCTACTGTCTGTATAAAATTCATCGAACCAATAAACTGTGCTACAAAACGAGTTTGCGGTTTGTAATAAATATTATGTGGCGTATCGAGTTGTTCAATCACACCTTTATTCATCACCGCCACACGGTCAGAAATACTTAACGCCTCTTCCTGATCATGCGTAACCATGATCGCAGGCAAATTTAATTGACATTGAATGGTACGAATTTTTTGGCGGAGGTTTAAACGTACCAACGCATCCAATGCGGACAAAGGTTCATCCAACAATAAAACATCAGGATTGGGCGCAATTGCACGGGCTAAAGCCACACGCTGTTGCTGACCACCTGACAATTGATTGGGATATTTTTCCGCAATATTGGGCAATTCAATTAAGTTTAATAATTCATTGATACGAAATTGAATCTCTTGCGCTGACCAGTGTTTTTTATGCAAACCAAAT